AACTCCAATATGTACAAAGAACAGTTACATTTTTGGGTCATGTCATTTCAGGAGAGGGGAAAACGCTTTCAGATAACTCACTAAGCGACAGATGATGTCATTCTTGCGTATGTGTGCATAACACACGGCTGTTGTTATGCTTGCTGTGATGTTACATTAGTCCATTCTCTGCTTGTAATTATGCCGTTACAAGTTTCAAAGTTGTATTTATCATCTGAATTTGCCGAAACAAGTTTGGTATTCTGAAGACCAATACTTGGTTTGTTCTAAAACAGATGAAAACAAACTGTCTTTTATACAAAATGGAAGTATTATACAAGTAAAACTACATGTTGCTTTAATCCCATGTAATTGTAGAATGAACACAGTCTTCCTTTGTATAAGTAAGGTGTTCTGAGTAGTCAAAATTACCTAAAATCATTGTACACATTGGTAAATATTATTTTCCACTTGTTACCATTGTGAGGCTATATTTACGCAGCTCTGCGTGATTTAGTAGCTAGAATTCAGACTAATGCACTACCAGAGGTGGAATAAGTACTCAGATCTTTTACTTGAGTAAAAGTAGAAGTACCAGAGTGGTACAGTAAAAGTCCTGCATTCAAAATGTTCCTCAAGAAGAAGTAGAAAAGTATTATCAAAATATAATACGGTAAAAGTATTCATTGTGCAGATTGGTCCATTTCAGAATAATATATATGATATGTTTTATAATGATTGATCATGAAAGTGTTCTCAAAGCTGGTAAAGGTGCAGCTAGTCTGAATGACTTTGTATACTGCAGGGTAGCTTGTGGATTTACTCCAGGTGGAACTAAAGTCTGATTCAACACTTGATTAGATTTCACATCATTCATCCACATCTGTGAAGTAACTAAAGGTATTAAATACATGTAGTGGAGGAGAAGTACACCATGTACCTCTGACTTATGTTCACTGCCAACCTAAAGTACCTAAAAGAATAGTAATCAATAATGTATTGAAAAGTTATTTGGCTGATTGTTTTTATATCGGCTCAGCCAGGTTATATGGGAGGCCCAGTCTACGTACACTCTAAAAACAAATGCTTGGCTTAACAAAGAGAATCAAGGCAATAGGTTGCATCGATGGTTATTGAGTTAAGACAACTTCTAATGACATTTTGTTAAAGCAACAAAGTTATTTGAGTTAGGGGAGAAGGCGTTTCCTCTACAATCAGGTGTTTTCAATTATCACTTACTTAATAATTGGTAGCATAAACACAAGTTTTTAAGTTGATTACTCCAAAAGTTCCAACTTGTTTTACCGTATGATTTAAATGTAATCTTAAGTTGTGTATACTTAATTACCACATGTTGAACATGGACAGATGTTTTTAAGTTGACAGCCATTTGTAAATTAAGTTGCTCCAAATAATATTGTATTCAATAGGGTTTTTCTCTTAGCTTATTCATGTTTTTGCCTTTAAAGAAAGAAATTAATTGATTCCACAACAAAAATATTAGGCAATTCACTTTTTATTTTTGAACTGCAGTTGGTTATTTCAACACATGATGTTTCAATCAGGAGAGTTTGAATTTCAAGTTGTATTTGAATGACAAAAGATGACACTCACCTTAAAATGTCCTTTGTATATTTCTATTTGTCTTAACTGTGGGAACTTGTCCAGGCATCTTAAGTGGGAGTGGATTTGAAATCCTTAACTCAAGGTGTAGAACAATTAAGTTATCAAGCCAATTGCATTACAATACCTCAACTTGAATTTAGGGTGAAGTCAATTAACGCAGATGACGGCTCGCCTGGGAAAACGACGACGCAACAGTGAGCAATACTACCGGAGAGCCTGGACAATCCTAAAATGGTTCCTCTGCATATTTGCCATGATAGTTGTGTTAGGACTAGTCCTATATTTTATGTATCCATGGTCAGCACACAGCATGTCAGCCAAAATCGAGATATCTAAGAGGTACATGGGGAGAGCAGGGCGAACACACGGGCAGAGGGGCTGGTCAAGACAGGGATTGGTAACATTACTCTAAGGCAGTGGTTCTCAACGTGGGGGGCGCGCCCCCCCTGGGGGGCGCAGAGGCATGCCCCCCAGGACCAGGAGGAAAAATTGTTATAAAAAAAAAAAAAAAGATTAAAAAAAAAAAATCATAATTTGAAAAATGATTGATTAATATGATGCAGTACAGTACTATTACGTCTGGGTCTCTGTGTTTCATTAAAGCTCGGCTCTGTGTGTGTGTGGAACGAGCCATTTTGTGTGCGCGAGAGAGAGAGCGCACCGGTACCGGAGATCGTTGTTGTTAGCTTCTGGTGCTAGCGAGCTATGCTAACGGATATAAGGAGTCTTTTCAACAACAAAGTGGAGGAGAGTCCTCTCCTGTCAGACTGAGAGACTCAGTGAGCTAAAGGACTCTCTCAGTGGATCTCAAACGTTTTGGTCACCATTAATGTAAACAATTATTTCCGAGGCACACGTTTATATGATCATTATTGTTTTAAAAAAATAAGAGAATAAATGAAAAACAGGTATGAAATACTATATGACACTAAAACAACAATAAAGTTTAAAAGGGGAGTGATTTGTAAAATATCCATAAAGAAAAAGTAAATCTGTTCACAGATCTGTTTCATCTGGGTGTTGAGAGATGTATCCATAGATCTCTTCATTTTGCTCTCAAAGTGCACCAGATTGATGCTTTTAACTTCAAGATTGAAAAAAATATCTTCCCGGGGGAGCTTGCCCCCGGACCCCCCTATGTGAGGTCCACACACCACCTATAAAAATAGCACTTTACCCCTGCTTACACCTATATGCCGTGAGCTGATTATCGTGCCTTCATTGTAACAGTTGCGGGTACACTGTGTATTTGCGTGTGGAGTGTTGCAGTAGAACATTCCTCTGTAGCGACCGGTACATTAATGGGAAACCCTAAATGTTTGAGCACCCTCTATGAAATGTCAAGCTACCCCACAGAACCCCCAAAATAAATATCTGGCGCCGCCACTGAGCCTGACTATTTGTGTTGGGGGGGCCCCGACTTTTTTTTTTCTCCAAAGGGGGGGCCTGACAGAAAAAGTTTGAGAACCACTGCTCTAAGGGATGGGGAAGATAGCACAGTGCAGTTACGATGTTTACAATATCTCGTATTGCATATTCGGTGCCCCTGGAAGAATCCTTTCTAACGTAGCATTCCCTGCTCTATCAAGTTCTGGCTCCCCTCTGGATAGGTACATGCACTCTAGTGGATTTGAATCCAGCAGTCACTGTCCTCACGTCCTTAATGCACACGACACATCATTACCCAGAGTTCCAACACCCCGACCACCACAAGGTAAAAAGAGAGCTGACGTCCACTGGAGCTAAATTATTTGGTGGCTTGTTTCCATGGTGGGGTACAGTAAACAATGCCCATAACATAGATACCTTACATGTTCGACTAGAGAACCTCACTTACGAGACGACGCAAGGCTTCCAGGCATTGCCCCCATTCATAATAGCCTCTAGGAATATGCTCATGCAGCACCAATTTGCTTTTGACCTTTTGTTCGCATCAAAGGGTGGCCTGTGTCATGTGATCGGTGACTCCTGTTGCACTTACTTTCCCGACGCCACCAAGAACATCACTGACACCGTGCTGCATCTTAACAACTTGTTAGCCAACATGAAAGTGGATGACATATCCACATATCCGGCTGGGACTGGTGGTCCTGGTTTATATCGGGGGGGGTGGCAAGGCTGGCTAGGATAGTTACACCCCTGATAATCATTTTCGGCCTATTAATTTTATACTCTGTGATTATCCCAATACTGAAGAAAGGCTTTTCCAGCCTGGTATCTTTAGCTTTCGTTCAGTATACTGCTATTGCATTACACGACAATCCTTTGCGCCACAGTGAGACAGACCAGCTAGAATCAGAAGAGTCTGATTCCGACACTACAATATAATCAATATAATCATGTGAATCGAGTGTACTCTCCTCTTATGCTTACATTATATTGGAGTCTGTCCTCCACACAAACAGCCAGTTTTCTATGATATATTTGTGATGTGTTTACTTAAACCAGTGATGGAGTGTATTCATTGATGTGTTATATCACTCTATCCTGTCATTGTTTTTTTATTGATCAAGTATGATCAAAAGGGGGGAATGTAGTGGACATTTTATTATATCCTGATATGTTTTAACCAAATGTGTCTCATTTGGTTAGATGTGCTGTTTGCTCTATCTATCCTACTTCAAGGCCACAGAGCTGTTTTGGCTACTGGGTTGAGACTCACACAAAGTCACACGATCTACTTCTACAGCTCAAGGCCAGGTGTCTATAACAATGTGACCGTGTGAAGACAGATTTCTTACCTTCCCACCCTTTCCTCAATATAAGCTTGAAAACTATATTGAACTGCGCACACTCGCGCAGACTATCCTATACTCTGTGAGACCTGTGTCTATATTTTATTGTATCTGATGTTTGTTCGAATAAACATCACCAGAAAGACAACTCTGTCTGATTCACCATTTATTTGTTTTCTGACTTGTACTCTACAGTATTGGGGTTTTTTGATTTCCACAACAGTGTGTGCGTCTGTATGTGTTTTAGTTTGTCTGTCTCTGTTTGCTGGTTTCATGTTAAAAGTGTTCCCCTTCCTTGTCTGTGGCTGTTGATTGTGTGCACCTGGTGCCCTGTGTTGCCTCCTCCCCCCCCCCCCCCACCTGTGTCTAATTGCTGATTAGTGTGTATTTAGGGTCTGTTGCCCTGTCTGTTTTGAGGCTGGGAGTGTGTGTGAGATCCCTGTGGTTGGTGACGGTGTGCACATGTTCGGCAGGATTGAGGCTGTGAATCTTTGTGTCACATGTTTATGAGGTAATAAATGCCCACACCGGCTTGTATTTTGGACGTTCTGCCTCTGTCTCCTTCCTTGGTCGGGCCGCTCAATTGTCAGCTTCACAGTATTTTTTTCAAATTCAGAAAATGATAAACACAAACAGATGAAGTTCAGTCAGTGAACTGACCTGAGAGCCTCCAGTCTGCAGTTTGGACTCTTCAGTCCAGAACTCAGCAGCTCCACTCCTGAATCCTGCAGATCGTTGAAACTCAGGTCCAGATGTCTCAGATGGGAGGGGTCAGACTTCAGAGCTGAGGCCACGACTTCACAGTGAGTCTCTGAGAGTCCACAGCGAGCAAGACTATAATAAAACATATATCACAACATGTGTTAAAAAAGAGGAAACATAATGACCTCAAGCATTTGATGAAAAACATATTTGACATGTTCTGATTGAGATTTGCTGTTAGTCCATTTTATATATAATAATATATGATAGAGTGTAATGTGTTGTCAGTGTGATCTGATCACAGGTCTGTGCTCCTGCTGTCACTGACTGTTACCAAAGAAACAGAAATTAAATAAATCACTTGACAATATTAGAGATGTACATATTTAAATGTTGATTAATATTTAGATGTGAATAATGGATGTTTTGTCTTCTCTGAGCATCTGGAAATGTATTGCGCACAAACACAGTTAACAAACCAATAAAGTTTCAATATTTTAAACTGAATACCATCAGATGTTCTCACTGTATGAGTATTAAGACATAACCAGGGCTGCACATAACTGGTGCGCAGGTGCGCATGCGCACCTCCCCCCCAAAAAGAGCACCGGGTCATTTGAAAAAAGGCGCATTTGCGTACCAAAATTGAGAGAGAAGGGAGAAGAGAAAAGAGAGGAGAGAGGAGAGAGAAAGATATTTGCGAGTTGCATATGAACTCAGGGTCGGCCCGTAGCACTGGCGTTATAGATGTTCGCCTAGGGCGCCAGATCTGTGGAGGTGCTGCGCTGGCAGCTCTGGGAGGGAAAAAAACATTTTTGACCGTTGCGGCTCATCCTAATTTTCGGCCTTGATGTAACAAAATTCATAATTAAGTAAATGTAACACCCTTTTCACCCCGGTTACACGTTTCATTTGCCCTGTACGATGGGCGCTGTAAGTGATGAAAATGGGGGATGTTGGCTTATCTGGCAACCGCAGCTCACAGCCAAAGTGCGAGTGAGCGAGGGAGAGAGAGAAGGGCGCACCGCCTAGTGTTGTTATTAGAATCTGGTGCTAGCTGCTCTAACAGATATAAGAAGAAGATGTTTCTACAATAATGTGGAGGGAGAATCCTATCCAGTCAGACTGAGAGGCTGATACTACAGCTCAGTGAGGTAAAGGACTCTTGAGTGTTTAGATAGTTCACTTTAGTCTAAGTTCAAACAGTTTGGTCACAATTTATGTAAACACAAGGCACTCCTTTATAACAGGGTTGCCAACTCTCACGCATCTGGCGTGTGACACACGCTTTCACTCTCAATCTCACGCTCTCACGCTGCCCAAACTATTCTCACGCCAAAAACAAGAATACCGAAGACTAGAAACGGTTTTGAAAACGTTTGTCAGGTAGTGATCGTCTTCTCAATAGAACATCTTTGATAATGTCTTCTGGCCAATCAGAATCAAGATAACGGCGTGGTGTTGTTCCAGGAAGTCCCGACGGAGAATACTTTTGCTGTAGTACATCTCTATATACATCGATACAACATTACGTGTTGATAGAAATTAACACGTAATGAAATAAGACCCCACGGTTTGATGATTGATAGGTGCAAGGACGTGCACAGGTACGGGCTAATGTTATCAGGGCAACGGCCCGTTTGGCCTTTATGGCTGACCTGCCCCTCTGGAGAGAGCGAGAGTTTATTTTTATTTTTTCTGTTGTGGCCGAATCAACATGATCGAGGATCTCATTGTTTGACCTTAAGGGATATAGGCCTACACTGTGGCCCTAAAGCAACTGCTCCATTATCTGTATCAAATGCAGACATTGATGCCACCAAATGTCAAAAATAAAAATAGAAAGTACTACAAATAAACTGGAATTCATTTACATCTTAAATTATGAATATATATACACAAAAAAAGGTTTACAAATATCCAACCTTCAAATTGCTTTTTTAAATCAACACTGCTCTGCACACTTGCTAAAGAACATTTGTCTGGAAATCTCAATTCATTTGTAGGGCTGCGTGAGTATGGCCAAAAGTATGGGAGTAAATCTCACTGTAAACAATTTAATCATCACCAAATTCTGTGTTATTATGACCGATCATAACTCAGCTTTATGCAGACATATTTAGCATGGTGTACAGGGCCGCTTCTTGGCATAGGCGGTCGCCTAGGGCGCCAGATTTTTACTGTTTGCGCTCATCCTAATTTTCGGCCTTGATGTAACAACATTCATAATTAAGTCAAGGTAACACCCTTTTCACCCCGGTTACACTTTTCATTTGCCCTGTACGATGGGCGCTGTAAGTGATGAAAGTGGGGGGTGTTGGCTTATCAGGCGTCCGCAGCTCACAGCCAAAGTGGGTGTGGGATCGAGCGAGAGAGATAAATGCAATTTATGTAAACAAATATTTCCAAGGCACTCTTTTATAATTATTGGGGTAAACAGGTTTGAAATCATTTCAATGTATACTATAGGACAGAAAACCAAAAATATCGTTTAAAACTTGAGAGATACAAAAATATGCATAAATAAATGTTAACTAGGTAAAATAAGATATGAATGAACAACAAAAATAAAATAAGTTGCATTTATTTGCTATTGGCTATGGTAGGTTATTGGTTATGTTCACATACTTATTTGATTATTAAAATGTAAACCAATCTTTTTCATATGGGTGTTTAGAGTTGTACCCCTAGGTCAGGTCTCAATGTGTGCTCAAAGTGCACCCGATTGAAGCATTTTACTTTAAATGTTCAAACATTTCTTCCTGGGGGGGCATACCCCCGGTCCCCCCTAGAGGATGTGACGTCCACACCCCAATTCAAACATGTTCATACAATACCGAATACATTTGAAGCCTTTTTGATGTATATTACCAACATGTCAATACGTTTCTGTTTTTGTAGTATATTGGTCTTTTGTAGAGATTTTTCATTTATTCTTTATATATTCTATTGTGTATTCCTTGGGTACTTTTAGCTTTTCTATTGTACGATTGAAGTAAATGTGGGAAGCGTTTAACAACAGGCATTTACTTCAAAGATTGTTCGCAATGTTATTCTTATTTTTGTTAATCCTGGAAGAATGCCAGAAAAAAAGACATTTTCTTCAAGAATAAAAAAAAACATGACATTAGTAATTGTGAAAACAAATTAAATAAGTTGTTAGGTTAAGTCAGGGCCGGTTTTTGGCATAGGTGGTCGCCTAGGGCGCCAGATCTGGGGGCGCTGCGCTGGCAGCTCTGGGAGGGAAAAAAACATTTTGACTGTTTGCGCTCATCCTAATTTTCGGCCTTGATGTAACAGCATTCATAATTAAGTCAAGGTAACACCCTTTTCACCCCGGGTTACACTTTTCATTTGCCCCGTACGATGGGCGCTGTAAGTGATGAAAGTGGGGGGTGTTGGCTTATCAGGCGTCCGCAGCTCACAGCCAAAGTGGGTGTGGGATCGAGCGAGAGAGATAAATGCAATTTATGTAAACACATATTTCCAAGGCACTCTTTTATAATTATTGTGATAAACAGGTTTGAAATCATTTCAATGTATACTATAGGACAGTAAACCAAAAATATTGTTTAAAACTTGAGAGATACAAAAATATGCATAAATAAATGTTAACTAGGTAAAATAAGATATGAATGAACAACAAAAATAGTTGCATTTATTTGCTATTGGTTATGTTCACATACTTATTTGATTATTAAAATGTAAACCAATCTTTTTCATATGGGTGTTTTACGGCCCGTCCACACAGCAGCGTGCGTTGAAAGCTTCACCATTCACTTTGAATGGGGTGACGTCACTTTGCTGGCGTGGCTCGCTGCAAAAGTAGAGCAATGTTCAAGTTTTGAAGCCACGGCAGAAGCGTCAGCCAATCGAATCATATGCCAGTACAAGCTCTAGCCAATCAAACCGCTGCTTGTATGTCAGGGGCGGGAGATTCATGTGATTGGTTGTTGGTCGAGTTTCAGACACGCCCACCGGCAAGCTTCAACGCACGCCGCTGTGTGGACGGGCCGTTAGAGTTGTATCCCCTAGATCAGGTCTCTAGTAATGTGTGCTCTTAAGTGCACCAGATTGAAGAATTTTACTTTAAATGTTCAAACATTTCTTCCCGGGGGGGCATACCCCCGGACCCCCTTAGAGGATGTGATGTCCTCACCCCAATTAAAATATGACTTATGTCAATACGTTTCTGTTTTTGTAGTGCATTGGTCTGTTGTAGAGATTTTTCATTTATTTTTTATATATTCTATTGTGTATTCCTTGGATACTTTTATTTGTTCTACTGAACGATTTTCTGGCAGGGGGGGGCGCCAGCTAAAATCTCGCCTACGGCAACAAATTGGTTAGAACCGGCCCTGATGGTGTAGGAAACGGGCTCCGTGTTACAAGACGGGTCGGGGGTTTGGCGGTACCACTGCAGACTCTCTGCACACACACACACACCGCTGCAGACTCTCTGCACGAAGGAACCACGGTGCTGCAGCTCCTGATCGGAGCAGAGACACACGTTCACTAAGCGGAAAAACGATATCCTGTCACAGAGATCTGCTATTTTAAATTTTAAAGTCAACACATATCGACCCTAAATAAAGTCTATATTAAGAACGAGAGATGTTTTGACATTATGGCTTAAACAAATGACAAATGAGCGAGGGCGATGACGTCAGAGCATCGTCCTATGTGCCGGGGCTGAGCCCCGGACAGCCCCGGACAGCCCCGGACAGCCCCGGACAGCCCCGGACAGCCCCGGACAGCCCCGGACAGCCCCGGACAGCCCCGGCCCAATTTAACCCCTGGTTAGAGGCCCTATTTTATCAGTATGTCTGGACTGCACAGCAGTTACAATGGTCAAACTACATTAGAACGGAATTGTCCCCATTTTGTCTTTAATAGTTACTAACATTAGATATTTTAATGAGATATGGACCGCAAAACAAAAAATGTCCCTGATTTTCATTTTTTAAATTAAGTCACCGAATGCAAGTAGTCGCCTTAGCTTATTTTGTTATGAGATGTGAATTACTGTTCAATTTAGTTGATGTAATAATCAT